CTCGCTGGTAGTTTCCATCTCCTCTTTCCTCTCTCTCCTCTCTCTCCCCTCTCTGAGCTCTGAATGGAAGCATTGGCTGCTGGATTTATCTACAGTCATTGTGAATTCCTCTCTGGTTCGCCTCCTCTCTGCCTCTCCTCCCAGATCCTCCTGTGGACTACGACTCCTGACTGAAGATAACTCTCTGGAGGACTTATGAGGGCTCTCATCCCAGGATGAGGCAAGTCCATATCCCTCAACAGGAACACTAGTATGTTGGGTTGGAGAGTATCCCTGAATTTGCGAAGCTTCAGGACCTGATCTGTCTTTTGCAGAAATAGATTTGAAATCGTACGGACTTTCAGTGGGCACACCGACACGTTGTGGTAAACCAGCATATGTAGGAGAAGACCCACGAGGAGGAGATAGCTCGTAGCCAGTGGCATGTTGAAGAGGTAAAGGTTGCTTTGTTTGCAGGGCTCCACCAGAAATTACACCACGGCGGGGTTCACTGTCAGGAACATGGGACTCAAAGAGCAACCCGGTGACAGGCTGCTTGCATTGATTGTCCAAAGCCCACTCGGACTCCAGTTCAGCTACTTCCTCTTGTTCGACCACATCTTGTTGCCATTTCAGAATGCGCTGAGCCAGCGCTTCCTCCTCGCTTACAAAGTACTCACTGTCCCTCTGCAGCCTCGTCTCCCGGCCCTCTGTCAGCTGATCAGCCTCATTGTCACGCTGCTGATCTTGGAAACCTGCAGGAACCGGCTCGCTTAAAAGGAACTTCTCTTTGGCCGTTTTTCCCGTGAAACTCTTCTTGCTGCGGACCACTTCAGGATGTGGATTTGATTCTAAAGCAGACGAATCTGCGACATTTGTTCCAGCCTCAGTGGTCCTCTCTGCCCGGATGTTTGAGTAACCCTCCACCCAGTCGGACTCTGGCTCCACAGCTTGCTCTTGTTCCAACAGAACATTCTCTTGCCATTTCATTATCCGCTGAGTCAAGGCCTCCTCTTCACTGACAAACTTCTCACTTTCATTCTTCAGCTCTGAGATATTCTCTCTCGACAGCTGGAGCTCACGCTCTTCTCTTGTCTTCTCAAACAACATCTTCTCCGCTCTGGCTTTTGTTCGAGGCGACTCAGCTTCCACTTCTGCTGCTCTGTATTTTAGTCGAGATGTTGGTGCCTGCTTGTCTGTTTCCAATTCTACTCCTGGTCTGGCTTTCATTCTGGCCTTGGGCACAGGGGCAGTGATTTCGTCCTGTTCTACTCTATCTTTGACTTTGTGTGACTTTGCCGTTGATGTGGTACCATGGTCTACAGTTGCTCTTTTCTCCACCACCTCCTGTTGGCTGTAAATGTGCCCCTCAGGATCCATGTACTGAGTGTCTGCCAGCCTGGGAAGATCAGTTTCAGGGTGGGGTACCTCCTCTTCTGACATTCGCATACCGTGCTGCCATTTCCTGATCCGCAGAGTAAGGAGTTTCTCCTCACACTGCATCCGCTCAGCGTCCAGGCTCTTCTCATACTGAGCCCTCAAGGACTCCCCTGCACCCTCCTCTTCATGTGGATCAGCTGGTTCTGGTGTTAGAGCTTCACTCAGGAACCTCTCTTTGTTAGATTTGACTTGCCTCGGCCTGGGGGACTCTTTTAGTCTTTCCTCAACCCTGGCCTCTATGGTTCTAAGAGACAACTCCGCTTCCACTTTTGCTGCTCTCGCTTTTACTCTGGGGGATTTTTGTGCCGGCATGAGTGCTGCTTCACCCTTTATTTCTCCTGATCTGGCTTCCATCGTGGCTGACTTTGTAAGCAAGGAGGCAGAAACTTCCACTTCTTCTCCTCTATCTTTTACTTTAGGTGATTCTGGCGTTGACACATTTACCCATTCAGAATCTACTAACCTTGCCTTCATTCTGGGGGATTTACGGAAAGATTCTGGCACAGCCTCCGTTTCTACAGTTGCTGTTTTCTCCATCACTTCCTGCTGGGGGTAAATGTGCCCCGCGGTCTCCATGTACTGCATCTCTGTTGGCATCGGCAGATCCGTTTCAGGGGGAAATGTCTCCTCTTCTGACATCCTACTCCCTTGCTGCCATTTCCTGATCCGCAGAGCAAGGAGTTTCTCCTCACACTGCATCCGCTCAGCGTCCAGGCTCTTCTCATACTGAGCCCTCAAAGACTCCCCTGCACCCTCCTCTTCAACTGGATCAGCTGGTTCTGGTGTTGCTTTGTCTTCCGTTGTTACCGCTTCACTGAGGAACGTCTCCCTTATAAATGTGACTGGCTTAGGCCTGGTTGATACCTCCTCTTCAGAAGGCACCACTACAAGAGATTCTCTGCTCTCAGTGTACGTTGTAGTTTTTGGGTACGCTAATGTTTCAGAGTACTGGACTTCAGGGTGACGCAGCTGGACCTCAACCTTTGTAGCTTCTACCTTTTGGTCAGCAACCACACTGTGACGTTCACTTACCATATGCTTGAATCTAGTATCTACCCGAGATTCAACAAAACTGTCAACTTTTTGATCCTCCAGTGTCTCTGAATATTTTTCACCTGATTTCCTTTCTGTATCTGGCAGCAGCGTGTCAGTCAACTCCCCTCTCATGATCTGAATGGCCCTGCATCTAGACTGAGGCTCAAATGAATGCCTCATACGAGGCCGAGAGGGGTCCCTCTTTGAGCTCTTACCTTGAAACTCCCCGGGACTCTCCCCCAAATCAAAAGTTCGATTGAACTGCTGGACATCAGGCAGAGAGGCAGGCTTGACCCTGAGCCTCTCCACATAATCTGCATAGCTCGACTCACTAGCAACCGATTCTGACTCAAACTCAGAGGAGGACATGGTGGAAATAGAGAGCCTCTTCTTCTGTTTGACAGCTTTTTGGAGTGTGGTAAGTTTGGTCCTCACCTCGCTGTGAAGACTCTCGGTGTCACTGAACCTCTCGCTGTATCGGTCACTGCACCGGTCACTAAACTTGTCACTGAACCTGCCACCGGTGCGCCGGTCACAGTAGATGTCACTGAATCTGTCGTTAAAGCGCTCAGACCGGTCGAACATGGGGGGAGGGGACGGGGCACGCTCGGACACCGTCTCCAAACGTTTGGACTCTTTCTCTACCTCTTTGTCTTTTGCGTGGGAACCGGACTTGAAGTATACGGTACGCACCAGAGAGCTCTTGGATCGAGATCTTCCCTGATGAACTTTGGACATCTTGTCAAATGGAGACCCTACACACCTGAGGTCCACCCTAAACTTCCTCTCTTTCCTCTGCTCTGCCATGGTGTCTACGCTTTCATGGGCTTTAGCAGAGCGTCTTACGAAGCCCAGGTAGTTAGCGGACTGCTCTTCCTTCAGTGAAACCAAAAGTGATGCTGTGGACTCAGCAGAACCTTCCGTGTTTAGCGCCATTACCTTATAACTGCCCGAGTCCTTCTCTTTGATGCTATCGATAACCAGACTGGTAGTGTGCAGGTGAATCCTGCTGTCAGTAGAGATCCTACGTCTACGCTCTTTAGGAATAGATTTATTATTATGAAACCAGAGGATAGTTGGTGGAGGACATGCAACCAGTTTACACTTTATCTCTACTGGTTCTCCTTCCAGGACCGATTGGAACTTAAGTTTCTTAGTGAAAGAAGGTTTGATGTTCTCCGTCCACGAGCTGATGGATGAGGTTCTGCTGGAGCAGCGATTGGCCGACACCAGGCCGTGATCCAGGAAGTCCTCGGTGTCGGAGAAGGCTCCTCTCAGCTGTCGAGTGCCGGTGAGTTCTGCGCTGCTGTGCGGTGTTTCTTCTTTTCTTTCTTGGTAAAACAGCTCTGCAAATATAAACAGAGAATGGTCAGCCTCCAGGGGTAAAAGAAAAAGAGAGAAAAGGATTTGAATGAATCATTAATGGAAATATTAAATTCATGCTGGGAGTCACAATGCCGTAAGAAATAATTTCACTCACCATATTTGTTCGAATAAACGCAAGACTTGATTCTTTTTATTAGAAACCTGCAGGAAGTTTTGATCCTTCGTCTGTGGAAATTTCTTCAAAACATAAATTATTTTATTATCATTAAAAAAGCAAAATGTTTCCAAGATGGGCTGCTTAGCATTCACTTGTTCTACTTTTGATAGTTGCTCTGTACTTTAATATTCCTTACCTGACTTGCAGACAGGAGAATAAACGCCCTTTCTAACCTTAAACTTAAGATAAATGATGCACAAGTATCAGCGAGAGGCAGAGCTCTCCATAGCTTGTATTCCGAAATGTAAAGAAATGAAGCTGTAAAATTGGGTGAGAAGGCGTTTATTCGAACTAATATAGTTCACTGGTGTTATTTAGTGCAAACCACAGGAATCACATCCCACTATCTGCAAGCCAGGCTAAGAGATATTTAGCAGGAGGAAGGTATCAGTTCCAGATGCAGCGAACCTCCTTATCTTTTAAAGGGCACTTCAAATCTGGAAGCTTTAAAAGATACACATCCTGCGCCTTCTGGGAGAAAGAGATCAGAAGAACATTCATGCCAAGAAACAACAAAACAAACTTTTGGATGCAAACCGCAAGTGTCAAAAAACTGGTTGGAGCAAGTTCTCGTTTGGGGGAAAATCACGAAATATTTTCAGAACCAGAGCAGGAAGAATAATACAGAACATCAGAACCTTCTATTGAGAGACATAGAGACGACATGCTACTGTGGGAAGATCACTTAAAGGGACAGTTCAACACATTTACAAACTCTAAAAGCCTGCTGATGCAGGACAACTATAATCCAAATAATCCATCAGTCATGCAGCCACACATTCGATGTTTCCTCAACAGTTTCTTCACTTAAAAAAACACCTTCAAAAGACTCAAAGCTTGGATCAAAGTTACCTGCTGACAGACTACTTTCAAAGAGAAACATTTATCAAGTGAAGCAGAATTGTTAAACTGTCCCTTTTCCATTGTGCCCAATTCTCATGTGTGAACATAATCTTCAGTGTTTTTAAAAACGCGATGGTCATGAACCCGACGGAAACCTTACCTTTGACTTCTTGCTCGATCTTGGCTTCGATGTGTTCTCTGACGTGAGTCACTGTGAAGAAGAAGAAGAAGACGTTAACTCGCTGACAGCAGAAGTCCTTCACAACATTCATTCACATGAAGAACTGGATTATCTTTAAGGACTCAAATGCTTTTTACCTTCTGTGTTTGAGCTCCATCAAGTTTTATCAAATGAATTGAGGAAACTTGAGCTATGAATGCAAAATGTTTCATGAAAGTACAATTAAAACCATGTCAGAGTATCGAACCAGCTTAATCTCAAATTAAACTGGTTTGTATTTTCATGATGAAATGTCTGGAGCCAAATAAAAAAAGCAAATAGATTTGAGTCCCAGAAGTCTCTAATCTTTGAGAAATGAGATTTTAAAGTGAGAAATGAGAAACAATGCAAACTCACAAAGTGAAACAAACAGCAACAAACGAAGTGAAACAAACATTATTCAACACAGGAATCAAGACACGAGAGGGGTTTGAGTTCCCTGCAAGAGGGAGGAGGTTACAGATGAGAGAAGAGGAGATGAGGAGATGAGGAAGGTGAGGAGATGAGGAAGCCCCAGGATTGATTCTGGAGCTGTGAGGTTAGTTACATCTGGAGGAGGGATGTCCCGAAAGAGAGCAACTGCAAGATAACGTGGAGCAGTGAGTCTGTTTAAAACCTCGGCTCTTCAGCGTCGACGTCTCCATCGTTTGAACGACGGTCTAAAAACATTTAAAGGAAACTTCAAACCCTAATTGTGCGGACGGCTTCGGGACATCATGAATGAGGAGGAAGAGGAGGATTAATCTCTCAGGAAGATGAAGGGTTTATTTTTTAGAGTGTGGTTTCAGAGGGATTCTGGCTGCAGCCTGACGGATCCAGATGTTACCTTCTTCTTCTTCTTCATTGGTGGTTACTGTGAGTGTGGCCGAGCACACGGCCTCTCCGGCGCTGTTGGCGGCCCTGCAGGTGTACTGCCCCGCGTGCTCGGAGAAAGCGTCAACTATGATGAGCACGGCGGTGCTCGACGCCTCGTCGAAGTGGAACACCACGTTCTTGGTGGGACGGACCGGCTGCCGGTCGTGGAACCAGCTGATCTCCGGCTTCGGCGTGCCGGACACGCATGCGTGGAAGCGCGCCACCTCCCCGTGAGGCACCATGAGGCTCGCGATCGGCTGGAGGAAAACCGGCTTTTGGCTGACGGATGGTTTCTTTATAGCGGTGAGGCTGGTGGAGACGTGTCTCTGAGACACAGCGGGAATGTCCACGGTGTGTTTGTGCCCTGAAAGGAAGCGAGGTCATTGACTTCATGAGCTTAAGTTTCCTTTATATTCATCCCAGTCTGCACAGTCCGAGTGGTTTCAGTTTGGGAGAAATCATCAAATCTGTTGCTAAGAAGCTGAATGACGCCATCAGTCATTTGTTCAAATAAAACTGATAACATTTGTTCTGATAAGTTGTGATTGAAGCAACAAATAGTGTGTTTTTTATTGGAGCACCACAAATTATTAATTAATTATTCAATTCAAATTTTAAAAAACAATAAGTGGATTGTGTTATTTTGATCTCCAGGTGACTCAACATTCTGTGATCCCGAGATGAAGATGTCTTGTTCCTGCTCTTTACCTCCACCTCTTTCTGCTTCCTGTTCTTTACCTCCACCTTTCTTGTTCCTCTTCTTCACCTCCACCTGTTTCTTGTTCCTGTTCTTTACCTCCACCTTTCTTGTTCCTGTTCTTCACCTCTACCTCTTTCTTGTTCCTGTTCTTTACCTCCACCTCTTTCTTGTTCCTGTTCTTCACCTCCACCTCTTTCTTGTTCCTGTTCTTTACCTCCACCTCTTTCTTGTTCCTGTTCTTTACCTACACCTCTTTCTTTTCTGTTTTCTGGCAGTTTCGTTGGAGACAAACTTACCGTCCAGAGTGAGCGTAGCGGAGCAGGAGGCCGTCCCGGCGTTGTTGGAGGCCCGGCAGGTGTACTCGCCTTCGTCCTCGGGGTAAACTCTGGAGATCTCCAGCTGACAGCTGTCGTCAAACTGAGACATCCTGAAGAAGTCCGACTGCTTGATCTCCTTCTCCTTGTGGAACCAGCTGATCTTCACATCTGGAGAAAAAGACGAGAACGTTGGTGTTCTTTAAAGCTTCTTCTTTGTTCGGCGCATTGTTTGTTTTTTTCACAAGATAAATTGAACTTTTATTTTATTTTCCTTATTTTTAAGACTAAAAAGAAAACAAAAGAAAACCTGTTGTGGAGTATTATTGCTTATGAATATAAATATAACACATTATAAATATTTAATAATATTTTGGTTCTATGTTTGTGTTCTTCTCAATGTGTCGCTTGTACATTGTGAACTGTGTGCATTTCTTTGTGAGATTTGACTCAAATGATAACGTGACCGATTGAGCTCAAACACCAGACCCTGAAGAGCAGAGACCCTGAAGAGCAGAGACCCTGAAGAGCAGAGACCCTGAGCCAACTCATCAAAGATGAATTACAGGATGATGAAGTCCATTCGCTCTCTTTGAGCTCCGCTTCTGTTCTCCTTCACCTCTCTAGCTGCTAAAAGCTCTTGGAGACACCGATCAGATAATCAATCAGCTGATCAATAACTACGAGAGACACACTCAGTCTGGGTTCACTTCTCTCACCGTCTCCTCGGACTCGGCACTGGAAGCGAGCCGGTTCCCCCTCGCGGGTAGAGGTGCTGCCGATGGGAGTCATGACGACAGGAGGAGCGACGGTAGCAGCGGAGTCCGGAGAAACAACCTCGGACACTACCACACACACACACACACACGTATCTGTATCTGTACAAGGCCTGATGTTGACATTAGTCTTTGTTCCACAGGTGTAAAGTCCCGCCCCCTTACCTTCCACGTGGAGCGCCGCGGTGCTCGTGGCGGCACCGTAGTCATTCTTGGCCTCGCAGTTGTAGACGGCGGCGTCCTCGGGGAACACCTCGATCAGCAGCAGCGAGTGCTCGTCGCCGTCGTGGAGGAACTTGCACTTGAAGCCCGGAGACAGAGCCTGAGAGTTCTTGTACCAGGAGACCTGAGGCTGAGGGACGCCGCCCAACCGCACCGAGAAGCGAGCGGGTTTACCGGCCTCCACCGCCTGGGGCTCCATGTGGCGGAGGATCTGAGGAGGCTCCGGGACTGAACGGGACACAAGAGAACCGTTAGAAACATTTAGAACTCGAAAAAACGACTTCATGGTAAACCTCAGGTTAATGATACAGTTAACCATAATGTTAACCATCAGAGTGTAAATAAAGTTTAACGTTAACCATCAGAGTGTAAATAAAGTTTA